TACAGCTCCAGCAACTGTCTCTTACAAATATGATCTTTCTAGAGAATGTAACACTTAAGGCACAGCAAACCTTGAGCATCCACTGCAAGTTTGGAGATATTCATAATATCAGAGGAAGTGCACAGCATTCCTCGGGACCAAAACAGATGTCATCTCTCTTACAATGGGGGTGATACAACTAGCAGAATATTAAACCTTCACAAATACTCATCCAGCCCTTTAAGAAGCAGCATTTGTTGCTCAAAACCTTTGTGTAAGAAGCATTCGTTATACATGTCAGTCCAGCTGAGGATTCAGGGTTCAACCCTAAAAGATGCTGGCTAATTAATCTACTGTATCTACAAAGGAAATTCCAGAGTTTCTGGGATTTACTATGCTTAGTACAGGCACTAAAATATCAGGCTCTTTATGGGTATGAAGAGTCTCATTTCAGCTCCATGCATTTCACCAGTGCATCACTATAGTGGTCTTAATGAAATACACCACCAGCAGAGATGATGCAAACCCCAAATCACCCTTCACAGTTGAGTCATCAGCTGTATTACACATATCCCTGAAAAATGTACATTCACTGCAGAAAAGCTCCATTCAGCACAGGCACCAGTGGCATTTTGATTAAACCTTGCTGCTAAATCCTCTTTGTAAGAACAATAAAAACTGGTTTTATTTGTGAGGGGTGGGAAATCTGCAGGCAAAACAGATGCATAAGCCAGAGAAGAACAGATCCAGCTTGTCTTAAATCACACTGGCATGTTTATGAAATGATTGCCAGGCTGAAGTGAAAATTAATCTCCCTAGAAGCCTTTTTATTTTTTAAGCAAGTAAACATCGCATTTTAATAACTATCTCTCTTCTCTGACTTACGGGGCTTGAACTGCTACAGGCAATGAATAGTTAGTCTCCTGCCTGCTTCTCTAAGCAATGCCTTGTAGTTTGAAACTGTAACCTGGTGTGTTAGTGTTGAGTAGAGGCTTTTCTCTTAGGCCGCTGTTCTAAAAGCAAATCTCTTACTAAACCATTACTTCTCTGCTCTGTTAGGCTGTTATAGCTGAATTACTGTTCCCAATGCGGTTCGCCTGCCACCCCTATTATTCTCCCCTTCTCAACCAGCTCCAAATTGCTTTCTCACCTGTCTGCGAGAAGCATTAGAAGCAAGAGGACAACTCTGCACCTCCTTGCACTGGCTGCAAAGCATGCTCACAGGTTGCTCCATGCTTATATCAGACTGTGCATGGATACAAGCATACGTAGTCCCTCTCTCACCTGCAAGGCACAACTGCTAACAAGATAGGTGAAGATCTGCAACAGAAGAAAACGATGGAGATCCACTGCTGAGGGAGCAGGCCTGCGATTGGGATGCAGTGGAAGCTGAATGTGCGCAGTGCTTTCATACATATCTTCACATCAGGCTTGTGTGGGTAGGAGTCTTTAAACAGAGAGAGGGTTTATCTCTTCTCCCTTTACAGCAACTGTTCTCTAGTCTGTTGTGGCAACACAATCAGCATTTTGCAGAAAAAATGGATTTGGACTAAACTTTCTACCCTAAGCAGTGCAGTCATCAGTTAAGCGTCTGTGGTACGCACTGGTGTCTTCTCTCCAGCCCAGGTTCAAGGTTGTAAGTTGTGATGTCTCATACTCCTTTCAGTCCTGTCTCCTAGAAGAGCAATAAAAACCAAGGAAGAACTCACGTGTTATTAGTACCGTATGCTGAAATAGGGAAGTGTTGCTCCAATATCAGGGCTGGAATAATTATCATGGAGGAATGGGCTGCCCTGTAGACTTCAGAGGTGAAGGTTGCTCCTCATCAGGCCTTCCCACGCTCCATCAGGGCTCATCTCTGCAATCCTTTGCTATGGCAGTGAAGGTTTACTCACAGAAGTAATCTCAGTTCTATGGGAACAAGATTTCTCAGGTAAATCGGATTAATTCAGCTGTTAGCTGTGTAAAGCCCCAAGTCTCACACTGCTGTACAAGGACTGGTTTCCCATTGCAGGGAAAGGGCTTGGTCTCCATCATGGCATGAAAACATTCCCAGTTCAAAGAAAAGTTCTGAAACATTTACGATGAATAAAACACAAAGCTCCTATTGAGCAAACATCGAGAGGTCTGCAGTTTTGTGACAGACTGAGTGAGAAGTGGCAGAATATGTGGTGGGATCCTTCCCCTGCCAGTAGGACACTTATGACAGACTCACTTACAGGACTCAGTTTAAAGCATAAAGAGATGTTCAATTACGTAAATCTAGTTGATCTGTAAATGTGGAATTAAGTGCTGTCAGCCTTCACTTACTTGTCTGGCACTGAGTTATATTTTCACGTACGCTTGGCTTACAGATAAAAAAGCAACGGAGTTTAAAAGAGGGCTTGGCTCAGTTTTGCAAGCTGGAGACAGGTTCAGAAGCAGCAAGGATAATGCAGCCTGTAGAAAGACCTTGTTTATCATAATATCTGCCACTCCTGAAGCCAAGTCACAGTCACTAAGCCTTAAACTTTTTGCTCCTCTAAAAAGCATCACTCAAGGAAAAGGAAAAAAGCAACTGAGGCTTTCAGCTTTTCCCCAAATTCACCCTCACCTGGTCTAGCAATTATTCATATCAGCAATAGAAAGGTTTACACAAAATATAGCACAAATACAGTTGCACAGCAATTAGACAGATCTTTTCACTGCAGGTGCACTGAAGTGATCCCCAAACATTAATTAAGCCTCACAACACTCTAGAAAGGTAGACAGTCCCAAGCCTGTTTTACAAGTGGGTCAGCTGAGGCTGGTACAGGACAAAGGAAGAAAGAGGAGACCCTGGTTCTGTATCTTGCTCTGACAGCACTGCCTAATGTAACAACAGGCATTTAACATGCCTACACGCAGCGTCAGCTCCTGCTACAATGCAGAACAAAAGCACAGTACCAGTATTACTATTTTAATTATAAAGTGCTACTTATATAGGAGTTGAGCCAGAAAATATAATCTGTTTTAGTACAGAGCTAACTACAAAACTAGCTGCTCATTATATGGTAATGGAACCGATATCTATCAGAGAGGAGATGTGAAGCCACAAACAACATCCTGATTAGATGATTCTAAACTGTATTTAAAACCCATTAGATACTAGATCCTAAAACAAGAGGAAAACGATCACTGTCTGATTGTGGTTAATAGATGCACTCATGATTTCAATCATGCTTTAAGTTCACTGCCAGCAAACAAAAAAGCCTGCAGTATCAGCAATATCCAATACCTATGCATTTTGTCATCAGTGTTATGTTTTTTATGAAACTCATGCAGGCAGTATTAGAAATAAATCTTAATGATTAAAAAGGATCTAATCCTTTGCTGCATACCTGCAGTATTACAGTGATGGATGAATGAGATCCAGTGGGAAAATAATGATTCTTCCAGTCTCAAAAAGTAATTAAAATCAGTAGCTGCGATGTAGACTCCCATCTCGCACTGCATTTCTATTTTGGCTTCTCTCCTCTAGGCTACTTTGAGAATTCTCATCAGTAGGAATACGTCCATCTCTGGCTCTTTCCTTCCCTCTCGAATTTCAAATTGGGCAGAGCCAGAGGTGAAAATTTCAGTGCAAAGTCCAGGCAACGAGGAACACATCCCCATGTGCTGCTGCACCTCCACCTTGCTGCTCCAACTGAGGGCAACTTCTGAGCAGAAGCTGCCAAGGCAAAGACCAAACTCATTTTCACTACTTACACATACAACGTGTCTATACAGCACCTACTAGAAAAATGCTTCCCTCGGAACACTGATACTGATACTTGTAGACCCCTGTACAGAGTTTGTGTTGGGAGCCGAAAACTAGTGTCTTTCCTGTGAAAATAAAAAAGGTTTTCATTGGAAAGATGTAAACCTCATCAAATGCACTGTGCTAAATACAGATGAACCACAGACATGAGAGATGCTGATCCATCTTATGGCTGTGTGTACTGCAAACACTACAGGGTATGGCTCCCAAGCTTCTGCTGGAGATGAAGGGGCAGGTTTTCAGCATGTGTAAAGTGATGCTGCTCTATTAAGATGCACTAGGATGATGTCTATTTACGTCAGTTAAATGTCTGTCTTCAGCTTAAATGCCCTCTTCTCAGAAAAATAAAGAAAAGGGGATAAAGAAGAAATGAAGGAAGTTGGATAGGCTACTGGATGGAGGAAAAAAAGTTGCTCCTCAGAACCAAAAAGTTATAACCTCTAGCCCTTCCATGGTAACTATGAGCAAGGTGGAAAACAGCTGTGGGGAGGAGAAGGGAAGGAGAGCTTAAATTCCGATGTTTCAGCTCCTCCCCTTTGAAACACACTGAAACCATACTGCAGCTCCTGCAAGGTTTCTACCTGCACACATGATGCAAAGAGCTACAGTAATGAAGGCTTTGTTCTCACTCTGCTGTAGATCCGGCCTGATCCTGCTTTCAGTGACACCAGTGCAAACAAGCGTAACTCCAGGGAAGGTACTCAAAAGGATCACAGTCAACCAAACACACTCTGGGATCTCTAAAATTGGATTTCAACCTGCTGCATTGTAAAATAATCAGTAAAAGCATCTGAATGCTTGAAGTATTTGACATTCAGGGCATGTGAGCGCAGAGTGAGTGCAACTTTCACGTTGAGCACGTGGTATAATAAAACATCATATCCTGTCTGCTCCCGTTAATCGTTTTTCTAGTTCCAGCTTTCTGGCTGCATAAATCACACTTATTTTGCAAACTCACTGAATGCTGAATCGATGCAGGATAGAGAGTTCTCCACATACAGCTGTTTGCTTGCCAAAAGGTTGTGATTTACATCACGGTGGAGTCTGCACACAGGTGCTAGACAGTTGTGCTCACTTTTCCATAGGTTAACTTACATCTTTCCCCATATTCCACCCTCTCCCATTCAGACTGGGAACATTCACATCCATTACAGAAGTAGACTAGTAAGAGTAACTTTCTATATTTTTAATATATTTCAAATACAGAATCCCAATTCTGCAATGTATAAAATCTTTAATATGGAGTGTTTCCACCCTAAAGCCATGAGATTGTATACCAACAAAAGCAATAGTCTTTGTAATACACTATGTTCTGTCATTTGAGTTAACCTGGGGTAGTGTTTACTGATCCAGATTCAGAGAACTGAAGTGGAAGAAGTTCAAATGTTCCACAGATTCTTCTTCCATCAGCTTTTAAAGAAATTATATCTCTCCCGAGACTCTGTACTTTTTAATTAACAGAAACAACTCCACAAAGAATCACCGCTGCCACAAATACTGTGCAAGCGCATTTGGGTTTGAGCATAAGCACTTATTATTTGTTGGTATACTGCTGCATCCGTCATTTTCCAAAGTCTTAAATAATCATAAATAAGAAAATCTGTACTATTCTTTGGTGTATTTCTGTCTGTTTAAACCACAGCTGAACTTTTAAGTTGTACAAACGAAAAATTGCACTTTTATCTTCAAGAGAGTCTTGCTAGTTCAACAGACTTTCAGCTGAAGGATTCTTTATTATACTCAAACCTTGTCCCATAAGAGTTGCTGCTGTTGCTCAGTTTATGAAGTATCTTAGAGATTTTGTTTGGTCCACAACAGAAAACTCCAATGGTCTTCCTGTTAAATAAAAAAGAAAAAAAGTTATGACATTGCAAATAAACAGTAACTTCTAACAATAGAGAGAATTGGATTCTGGCCTTACTGTATCATACTTCAGCCAATTATGCAGACTTTAAGGTGGGAATAGCTCACTAAATCACGTAGTATTACTGAAGCCACCAGATCTTTCCCAAGTATCCCCACAACAAGCTCTATTACTTATTCAACTAAGACAACTCTCAGAAAAAAGTGCCTCATCTTAGTCTCAAGAAACCAAGTGATGAAAAATTACTACTTCATACTATAATTTTTTGCATGATTAATCACTTTTTTTGTTAAAAATGTGTCTCACTCTAATGACTTCATTAGTGTAACTTGTGATTTACACCAGCAGAAAATCTAGTCACTAACAGTGATTCATTACACTAATGAAAACAGAGCACTATTAACTCATGATTATTTCTGGCAGTAGCAGAATAATTTTATTGCTTTAGTTTCACATTAGCATGCAACCTTTCCTTCAACAGCTGTATTGGAAAGTCTTACAAAAAGCCAAACACAGAACATGATCCTTGTTCATTAGTTAACTTGACTCTTTCACACCACTCCACCCACAACAGCTCTTTGCTCTCTGGTGGCCTTAAACACAGGCTGTAAGTCAGACTCACAGTCATACAGCATCTAAGGGCTCAGAGCAGTAGCATCAGAACAGGACACATCCACAACAGCAGGACTGAGCCATTCACAATATTCATCACCTCCCTTTTTTTGAAAGATGAGGAGAAGGGAAAGAAAGGAGCAGGGAAAAGGATGCAGTGCTGTCTCTTCTGTATCCCGAAAAAAAAATTTCTTCATATGCCACTACAGAGAAAGATCTTAAAAGATTTTCTGGGATGCAGAGTGAGCATGCAAGAGAGAACATGGCTCTAACTATGGTGATCTATAGCACTCACCAAGAGGCTAGACACTTGAGTTCTGGTCCCTGCCTCCAGGTTTGTTCCAGTATTTTGTCCAGTAACTTATTTAATCTAAAATATTTCAGCACATGTAGGATAATCAAACGCACAGTTTAAAGCTGCCTGTGTATGTGTTTGGTGAGTAAAGGGAACTAACACATGTAAGAAGAAATTGTTGATGCACACTGTCAAGTGTATGTGCCTGATGTTAGGCAGCAGCTCGAATAGCACGGCAGTCCATGCTGTTCCAGCGCACAGCAATGCAGGCATGGTACAACTGAGGACTCAAACTCAAAAAGCATCACAAAGTTACGCAGGTGACTGCAACGGTGTCCTTGTGCAGGCACCTTACAACGCTGACTTTAATTGCCTTCAATTACATCATCTCTCATATTAATCCATGGCAAATATTCATAACTTGTACTTTTCTCACCCTTATGTATACCTACTAAAATTTCCTGTCCTGGCAGTACTCCTTTCAATGGCAAGGGGTGTTGTGTTGGTGGTTGAATTTGCAGAAATAATGAGTGCTATTGCTCGTTCCTCTCAAATAAGATTCCTCAGCACTTGCAGCCTCTGAACACCCTCTAATCTGCACACAGTGGAGAAAAAGGGTGCATGATCTGCCAGCAAGAATCTGTCTTCTACTCTGTATTTAATTGACAGAATTAATGCTGTTGGTTTTTTTCATTAATGTAATTAGTACAGACAATTGATAAATAAAACCCAAAGAGTTCATCTGCCTCTCTCCCTTTCATTACATATATATAGCCCCTAAAGTACAGGCATAGTTTAAGCAGCACATACTGCTAATGTATTCCCAACCCAGCAACATCCTTCCAAGGTACACAGAATTTTTGGCTAGTAAACAGAGTCACAGAAAGGTTAAATGATTTGTCTAAGGTCACACAACAGACCTGTGGCTAAGGAGGTCTCCTGAAACCCAGCTGAGCCACTGCCCCGTGTGGTGAGCCAGGGGCTCTCAAACCTCCTTCCCAGGATATCCACCATCAGCATCTATTCCGGACATCCCTCCACGTGCCACTTACCTCCCACACTTCATGCCCTACGTCCACCCCCATCTATGCCCCCCACTTGCCTGCTTGCAGATCCCTTCCTCCCTGCCTCACTTGGCTCCTGCCTGGTTGCTGTAACACAAGCAGGCAGGCAGTTGAAAGCAGCTACTACATGGAGCAGCACACTACTACCCTGAGTTGATGGGCTTTAACTGTGTATCACTTCTTTGGGTCAATAGCTTACTTTGTTGCTTAGATGGAAACAGGCAGCTAGGTAGTGCTATGTCTGAAAATCTTTATAAATACCATTAACATGTTTACAATTAGGGAAACTATGTTATAGGCCATTCTTTGTAATAATTATAAACATTAATATAGGATTTTGCTCATTCAGAGCACTAAGCAAATAACGCCTCAGTGTTCATGTGGGATGAGTAGGTTAGCACATATTCTTATATCCATTTTCTGAACAGCGGGAGGCGTGGGAGAGATGAAATACCTTGTTACCTAGAGAGGACAGAGTCAGGACTTGAAATGTTTCAGTTTTAAATTCCACATTCATTCCTAGAGAGAGGTTTGTCCTTTACAGTGCATGAGAAATGTATCGTGGTGCTCCATGCCTTTCTCTCCTACAGATATCAGTGTCTTTTTCTAGGTCTGTCTCCATGTGGAAAAAAGCACACATCCATTTGATCTAAGCAAAATTGAGAAAGTGTGGCAGCCAAGGCGTGGTGTAAGCTTTACATCCAGGACACAACTGGACAGGAACAAGGCTGCTGCTCCATCCCCAAAAAGAGAGAGCATGAAAAACAAGACCAGTAATTCATTATATAAACTGTCCTGGTGCACATCGTTGGGACTGTGGTTGTCATATAAACCAGCAACAGCAGATGGCACACGCCTGCTCCTCTTAGTCCAGAAGAAAGAATCGAGAACCTGATGCTGGGTCGTCCCCATGTCACGCTCTGAAGGTCTGGCAAAGCTCAAGACATTTACAAATGCACTTTGCTTATTTGGGACCCAAACAGCAACAACAGCAACAATTCACAAACCACAAACCAATCTGATGGCTAAACCGATGAGAGGCTTGCCAGCTGCGTGTTTGTTTATGCACGGCTTTTACTGAAATCACAAGATAAAAAGTGGAAAATATCTTCGCTGCCCATAAACAAGCTCAAGGGGATGATTGCAAATACATATGAAAGCCTGAACACTGGCACCAGATGTTGGAAAAAACCTGTTTGCCTTGTTTTCGGGGGTTTTGGGGTGGTTTTTTTTTTGGTCTCTGTATTGCAGTAGGGTCATTTAGGTGGAAACTTATGGCAAAATAAGAACTGAAATAAAGTTAGTAGGATATCAGGAAATTGGACTACAGAGAAAAACTGAAGTTCCCATCTCATCCAGGGAAATAGGGAGAATATTTACCTACACAGGTAAGTTTCTGTGGGATAACTGAGTTACAGGTTGCACTACTGTCTATCATGTAAAATGTAACTATGTCTATAGATAAAGACCTGTATCTATAAACCTTGATAAGGGGGTGACAAAGGGTGAGGAAGCCTACATTTTAGCAACATGCAGGATAATCAAAACATTATTTAGGTACTAAAAGACACCTTGCTTGGAAGTGGTGGCACAATTTAAAGACCTGATGTGAAAATGCAGACAAAATGGTACTTGAAGTCTAATTAGAGTAGTGAGATGGGAAGTGTAAAACAAAAAGCAAGTATGACTGCCACTAATAGCTTCATCTATATTATGTGCGCTTACAGCCTTGCAAGGAAGTGGTAGAAACCTCATCATTTTCATCTTTTAACACACAGCTGAAACAAAAAAGACATTAGAATGGAGCATAAAAGGTCAACAGTCCTCTATGCAGAGGACTCTGAGCCAGCAAGTCAACTTGCTTCTCTGACCTCTCTATTTCCCTTTCTTTCCCATGGGTCTTTACTACAAAACCCTTCTCTAAGTGATATTCATTTCCACAGTGTGAGAATCCTACTAGGGACGTCCCTCTGTAGCAGCCTTTGGGGTATCCTGGCAAGGGACCCTGTCCACAAAATCCCCTATGACCAGATTCCAAGATACTTATCGTCAGCAGCTTACACTGCCAACAGTGATACAGACTAGCACCCAGTATTTCTCAAGAGCCAGGGTTCAGTGTCCTCATGTCATATCCAGCCTGAGAAGAGAAGAGTCAATAAGCCATGGGTAGATGTTCATTTGGCAAGTGCAAGAGAGGACAAAAAGTTCTTGAGGGAAACTTCTGCAGGTGAACATGAGAGCACCTCTCAACCTGGTACACCCAGATTACTATCAACAGCTACGGAGGGTGGTTTGCTCCCACCCCACTGACTTTGCCAGAAGTGGATTAGGGAAGATTCACACAACCCCTTCCACCAGATCTGCTTTTGAGGCAGAAAACTGCCAGTGGTGGGTAAAATACTCAACCAACAAAGCTGGATATGGACAAAGACATTCTATAGTCTAACTGCATGTCTTCTCTGGTTTACAACTGTCTTGTTTCAGATCATAATATGTTTACTTAGCACAGTAAAAAGGCATTGCCAGGTCTTAACAAAGAATAAAAAAGTGCCAGGAATCTCCAAAGACAATACAGCCCTTGAATAAAACCAACACAGGACAGTCAGATTCTTCCTTGTACATTTTGTTTGTAAACCAGCACTATAAAGTATGAAAGTTACAGGAGAAGTAAACAATTTTAAAAAATGCAACTTTATATATAAAACCAGCATATATAAAACCAGTATATATATAAAACCAAGATATTGCCACTGACAAAAACATATGCAATCTCTGTGCAGTGAGATGGAAATCTATTACTTTTATTTTCTGGGCCACTGAACACCCCAGCTGCATGAAAAGATGAACTGTTCCGAGTGTAAAAAAAGAAGTTTCAGTTTGTACACGCTATCTCTCAAATACTAGCTAATTTCAACATCAGTAGCTTAAATGTTACACTGTAGGATAAAATCCCAAAATATTTTCATACAAACATAGGTAGAAACAGATAATATCCCCAGCCTTCAAACTGTGGCATCCTTCAAGCGGGTTGGTACTCACCGCCTGTTACACTTTGCTATTTCAGCAAAAAGGAGTTTCCACCGGGGTCGTCCAATCAAAAGCCTTGAGTTTAAAGCTTGATACTTTTCACCAATTATTTTCTGCAAGAAACAAAAAATTCCATTCTTCCTGATTTGCAAATTTCCTCATATCACCCAGGACTCCCATTTCTGACATTGGCTGACTTCCATATCGCTGAGGTGGAAAACCTGAGCATAAGTATCAGACGGTTGTGATTAAAACTGCAGCTATTTCATGCACCAATACCTCTGCTCACTGCCTTTTCAATGGCTCTCCTTGGTGTTCATTATACATTGTTCCTCACGCAGCTGCTCATTAATCTCCCCATTACTTTTAAACCAATTTATTTAAGACATAAAACAATAACCACGCTCCTATTATTCATTCCCTCATTGGCTTTTAATGCTAAGCTGGAAGAAACACTGCTGATGCAAAAATCATATTTCTGTCTGAAGTCTTTTTTTTAACTTTGTACAAGTAACTATTAAGAAAACTAGGTTTGAAAAAGTAACAAGGGAAATCTTACATTTCTCCCTGAGAGTAGTTTGCCAGCTGTTTTGAGCACCGTAACAGCAGAAAGCAGCCAAAACTGCTCCCCGGATGGAACCCGACCCATTCCAGCAATGCTAACTCACCAGCATTTTGATTAGGTCAAATGCCCTTCCATTGCAGGGCATTACCCTTCCTTGGTTTTCTGTCCTAATGCGATAGAAAGGCAGAGAGAAGTTACATCTTATCTAGGCTCCCCCGTTGACTCCACTGCTGAACAACCTGAAACATTGCTCATATTAATGCAAACATGGAGTCTTGGCTAACTCATCCTCTGTTGGCCTTTTATATTCCAGAGGCATTTGCTGAAGGATGGGCTTGGGTCCTTGTTGTCACACAGGCATGCTACTTCTGAGCAAATGGAGCACGAAGCAAAACTGCCCGAATTTTGGTAGCAGTTAGCACTATGGACTAACATCAGTGAACACATAAGTTGTATGGCAATGGGGAGTTGAGTTTAACTCCCCCTTGAGAAATCATGAGCAGCATTACAGTTCATGCCAGTTTTCTTCAATAGCCACAAAAGAAAAGTGACTTTAAGGAAAGTCTTAAAGTTGACTTAAATAAATTCAGCAGCTGATTGATGCACAATACTAGAAAACTTGCTTTGAATTATTACAATCTTGCTGTCTCCATCTCCAGGACTTGCAATGCTGTCCTGCTTCCGGTGTTAATTTTAACCTAACAATTACATACCAGGTTCACCATTTAGGTATTTTCAAGCACTCCATTTCAATCAATGTATGTCTTCCAAGCATCAAATTTGTGGAGCACTGTTCATAACTACTGTAGCTATCACATCATTTAGACTATTGGATAGTGTTCCTACCAGAGCTGTGAATGTTATGCTTTCTCCACCTGACACCAGGCAGATCAAAATCTTCTGGGCATGGTTTCTCACTGCATTTCATGTTTTGTAGTAATTGTTAGGTTTGGTTCTGGGCCTGCTGCAGTCAATGGAAAGCTTCCAGACACAGCAGGGTAAAGAATCAGGCCTAGGCTGATGTGCTAAATAATGTAAAATGAAGATCATAAGCGTAAATAGCTATAGGAGATGCCAAGAGTTGGGGAATTAGCCCAGCTTTGGGGTTGGCAATACATGACAACTGACAGTTCAGTATAATTTCCAGTTTCACAGCACCAAGCAACTTGCAACTTTTGTCTATATTTGAGGCAAAGAAATCCAAAGCTTTTAAAAAGAGCTAGTTTCTCTCAAAATACTCATTTGAAAAGAAGATTTGAGCTTGCAAGCTCCTAGAACTATTCTGTTTTGATTCTTAGCCCAGAAATTATGCAGATTTCCCATCAAACACGGCCAACTGTCTGGTCCGTGGTCTGGCCTGGAAGGATCTCTTTCCTAGAAAAGGAAGATATGGATTTCTGCCCACATCTGACCAAGTTAAGGCTACTAGACTAGAGTCGTTTAATGCTGTGGGGACGGACTTGCTCTCTTGCCCTAGTAATGAATCAGTCACTTGAGTTCATGGCCTCATTTCCTGCTTTTACCATCTGCAGTTAATTCCCTTTTGCCTTTGACTGACAGTTTGCATTGTCTACTACCCCAAGGTCTAGTTCGGTTTACAAACAGCATTTAGCCACATACCTGTATTCCATCTGTTTGACTGAGGTACAGCTGGATATTTATATAGTCTGGTCGATTCTCCTGCCAAAGCTGGGAGGATGATAAAAACAGCTAGTGAAATAATATCCCTTCTCTTAATGTAAGTGTAAAGTTACTCGTGCCTACTATGCTGAAGGACGTGGGTTTCGGCATCAGTGAAATAAGGTTTTTAATGAAGAAGATATGCTCACATAGCACCCCTTTGTGAACTCCAGAATGTTGCACGTCATGCTGTGTACCAAATATTATTTTAGGAAGCTACACTGCTCTTAAAACCCATCTAAAATTGTAAATGCCCCTCCCTTCTCAACCTGTCTACTAGCCAAATGGCTAAAGGCCACTCAGAGTCCCCAACCTGCATATTCTTCTTCCACTTTACAAATTTCACAGATAAGTGTCCAGACTAGTGGTACATGGCAACAGCATGCAATGAAATACTGGTGACAGATACTCAAACTGTTTTGTGCAGCTCCAAGAATAAATGGAGTCTGGGTCAGGTAGCCCATGCAGAAGTACTGCTGGAGCTCGCTTGTTTTGAGCAAGGCTGCCTTTCTCTATAGCGTGCCAGTTGCGTGGTGTGTTCATACCTTGCATTTATTAAGTTGTCAGTATGCCTCCAAGCAACACCCATTACCTTGTTATGCAACATACAGAGCAGATCTGCAAACCAGCGGAAAGATTCAATGTCCCTGCACACCCAAATGAAGTAGAGTCTTCTGAGCTTGTAGCATTTCCAGCCGTCACTTGAAAACAAAATGTTTGCGTAATTAAAAATTACCATTTAAAAAGGAAACATTAATTAAGATGCTTTATATTCATTAGCAGAAATGTGAATTTCCATTAGAAGCTAACTGCTAAGTTGTTCTTCATCCTATAATACATCAGACACTGAAATGACCAACACAGCCTATTAGGACGATCCTGAGAATATTAAATCTCTAGCACCGAGCTAACACCCTTCACGGATACTGTTTCCGCATTAGGAAGCCGTCAGCTATACAGATGATTTGGGCAGCAAATATGGATTCATGCATCATCATCAAACTTTTATTTCAAAGCAAAGTAGACATTCTAAGTTCAAGTTTATTATGTCAATTCTTTATTAGGTTTATAAAGGGACCCACATGAGGAAAATATTGACAAATGCAATAATGTCAGGACTTAATTCTGCCTTTATATGTGAAAGGCTCTGGTTGATTATAATTAATATTGTAGAGAAATCACAAAGACCAAATCAAATCAGAGTTCCATTGTGTTACAGAACTGTGTGATATATTACAGTCCTCAGAAGATGCTGGTGGGTAAAGTGCAGTCATGGGCAGATTCTGGCATTGCATTTAGAAAAACAAGACTCTTGTGACAGATTTCTAATTCAAATAAAATACAAATATAGCACGAAGGAAGGATTGGAATGAACTGGGAAAGAAAATAGAAGTGAAAAAAATCCTGATGATTAATGAGTTCAAATAAAGCACAAATATCCAGGAAGTGTCTTGTTAGTTGGCCAATGCCATTTTCTGTTGTTCTGTTCACTGAAACGGTCAGTGCAGAGATTGTTTCCTCCTAAAATAATTTTCAGATAGAGAAGGCCATAGCCTGTCAACGTCCAACACTAGTCCCAGAAGCCAACCCCAGTTGAAGAGTTTCAGGATACATCTCACGATACTGTTCTGCCTTATTTCATACTCTAGTGTTTCCACATATCCATCAAGGATATAGTATTAATAGATCCACATAAGCAATGGCTCTGACCACTGTCTTACCTCCCCATACCCCTAACCTCCACTGTACGCCTGAGTAGCAACGATGGAGACATTCTCAGCAGCATGTAGAGGCTGAGAACTCACCTTTCATGTAAACTTCCCACGGAGAGAAAAAAAGTGCTTTAAGACTAGGGTCTATAGTGTCTTTCAAGTCCTGATTTCAGCTTTTTTATTTGTAAACTGTTGACCTGCAGAGCAGGATTTCTTCCATCTTCTTCTGACTGTCTATACTAAGACAAGCACTTAGGAAGGGTCACAATCTGGTCAGACGTGACAAGATAACTATGAGCAGTAGAAAGGAAAATAAGTGCCTTTCACCATAAAAAAGGATAAAAGAAGAAAAAAATGCAAGACATTTTGTATTGAAATGCTGTAGTTCAATAACAAAATGCCACTTTCCGTGATGAAACATTGCAGTTGGACAAAGAGGATGGACTGTAAGACTTCATGAAACAAGTCAAGCATAGTGTTAAAGTAGCACTTTAGACACATATGCTTGGGTCTACCTCCAACATGACATATTACGCAACAAAGGTGCAATCCCCCATTACAACCAAATCCTCATGTATATAACACTTCTTGTGTGTTTCTATGTTACTGCTGCCCATAATAACAGCCATTATTTGCAGACTCTTCTTCATGAAAGCCACTAGCTTTCCTTAATGGAAGTTCTATTTTTTAAAAAATAGGGTATAGAGTTCAACAGCTAAGTGGAGGGAAGAGCAGGAGAAGGAATTAAAATGTGTACATACAACAGCAACACAACTGAGCAGGAAACAAATGACTACGTTGACAGGCTCCTGATCTCCCCTCGACTTGCATGTCCTTGACAAAACTGGTCTGGCCCCGCTGCTCTGCAGCACTGGCATCATAAGGCAGTTTGGATGTTCACACCTGCCAATCTCTGCTTCTAAGCCAGGGCAAAGACAACAGGCAGATCATCCACTAAATCAATGCTTTGTTGATGTTTAAATATAGAGAAGGGAAGGAGGCTAAGAGTGTTACTTTCTCCCAGAATCACAGAATGATTCCCCTGTACATTGTACAGTGCACAAGAGGAAGATTGGCTATGAAAACAGGTTATGGGATTGTCTGCTTGGAAGCCCATTTATGGTTTTATCCAGATAAATGGATATTGCAAAAGTTTTTGGACACCAACCTTCTATGGCAACGTCTGTGCAAGTTCCTACAGTCTCTGATAATACACCGGTAGAGGCAAACATCTCATTACCTGCTGCTGGCCCATCATTATGATCTGTCACATTTTTGCTAAACACTGTCAAGGATAATCCATCACAAGATAAATAATCTTCTTATCCACCTGGGCCCCAGGCTTTCAGCAAAAATGTACCTTCTTTTTGAGAGGATGATCAATACACTCTCAGGAAAAGAAAATGAGGGAGCTCAAGATGGTCTTTGAGGGCTGCAGCACTATGAGACAGGTGGGGCTGATAATTTTCAGAAGCACTCAGCACTGTCAGGTCCATCCCAGATCAAGGACAGAAGAATGTGCACAGTATCTAAATTCCAGGCTTTAACTTCACTTTGGAGTTAGAACTGGCCATTGGCATGTTCATTTTAGAACAAATGCTTCAGTTGTGCAAAGTTGTCACAAAGTCAGCTAGCCTTTCAACACTTCAGGGAAGGTTTGCTGCTTTGGTTGGCTGTTTATATGGCGTCTATGAAACAAGGGTGCTTAACCTGTGGCTGGAGCTCTTAGCCAATACTCTAGCAAAAAAAGTAATAAAAAAAAAATCATAAAAGCAAGCCTATTTTACACAGTGTAAGATTTGGTGGGAACCATGTTGCCAATGTGACAAAGAAACAAGAGGTGAAAGGTTTGGTCTGAATACAACATCAAAGACTTTAAATTAAAAAAAAAAAAAAATTAAAAAAGAGAAACAAGGAAAAAAAAGAAAAGAAAAAGGCATACTTAAAATTTAAACTTTTCAAATGGAGTTAAATATCCGAATGCTATCTGAATCCATGTTGATCCCTTTCCTTTAAAACCTTAAGCTTACATATTTATGGAAGTCAAACAGACCAGGAAAGCTGGCCCTGCATTTCTAGCAGAAAGACTGTCACAATTTCCTGGTTCTCAAAAACCCATTATCATAGTCCATAGCCTCATCTAAGCTGGGACTAAGGGACCAAGGCTAGCTGAAGGTCTGTGACTACATTAAGCACACGCTAGGCTGGTGGCAGGATATAAAGGCTAGTGAGCCTGTCCCAGTTAGGTGCATTGCTGGCACAACTCTGCCACAACTCTTTGGATTACAAAGCCTGTATGAGATGATGTACGCTCTTCAGGGGACATCCCAGTCCAAGGAATCATTCACTTATGCTAATGAAAGTTTTTAAACATCTGAAAGTCTTTCTGACATGCACTACTATGGTAAATTGGGGGGAAATGGCTTTAAAAGGTTTAAGCTCACTTACAGCAGTGTGTTGAGTACTGATGCAAATGGTGTAACTCCAATACCTCCAGCCACGCAGAGGCTGACCTCATAGTTCAGGGATTCCTCAAAGGGACTTCCAAAAGGTCCATCCACATATAGTCTGCAGAAAAAGCAAAAAGAACACTTTTAAAGAAAGATGCTAAAATCAGAGAGAGGAAAAGAAAAGTGAGCTGGAATTAAAACTCTGCAAAGAATTCGTTTCAATTTGTATTAGTCTTGGGATGCTGAATGTGAAAATCTTTTTCCTGGAAAGCTCTATGTGTACAGAAACTAATGTACAGGTGGTATGAAAAACCGTTGTATAAAATCTCTTGGCACATTCTATGATTAGACAGTTATTTTTTTGATCAAAGAAGTGGAGGTAACTAAATTATGACTGCTCTGTGTGTCTGGTATTAGAGGGCAAAGAAAGCGCTGCACTGGAAACAGTAACAATTTGATAGGTCATATGCAGGAAGAAAAATAGTTTGGTTAGGCCTGCCTAGGAGGTTCATCTCTTGAGCATCAGAAACAGCTGAGATGGATAAAGGGTTAAAAAGATCTATTTTTCCTGGCTTCTCATAACGCTTTTCAAGGGCCTCCAGGGAATAAATAAGAGGTGACATATATCCATCCTGCAATGTGCAAAAGGAAGAAATTAATGTCTGTCTACTCCTTCACTTCACGTTCAGACCCTTGGGAACGTGATCTATCCCAATCATACAGGATATCTGAAGAGAGAGAAAAATCGCTGACTTGTAGCCCTTTGATTCATGCCTCATTATTATAACAGTTTTGTCCAACTGTTTTTAAAGATCGTTTAGGAGACTGGGTCTCATTTCCAACCCATTTTTAATATTTCAGATACCGCTGGGAAGTCAGCTGTTTATAATTTAAAAATAGGTTTTTAGACATCATCAAAAGTTTGACCTCCGAATCTTTCCTATACCCCTGAAAGTCTGACCAAGGTCATCCACAGATATCTCAAAATTTATGGGCTGTAAGATGTCTAATAAGATTCACATACCCACTATTCTACCTACGGAATACCAAATGCATATCTTATTCAGTAACAGATTCACCTTCAGAAACTATTACAAACAGAACTTGAAGAGTACATTTAGTCAAGGTCCATTCTGTGTATGAGTGGCCCACTGGATGACTACATTTTAGGTAACCAGTGAACACAGCAAAGTGTGGTGGGACCAGCACTGCCTTCAGCACCTCAGTGACTGGGGATTTGCTCACGGCTAGGCTGAATGAGATTAACCTTTGGCCTGAGTCCACAAAAAAGCTCCAACATATATTAGTTTTATACACACACATACGGGTGCTATTATGCAACAAAGCTATGCATACTCTACGTCTAATGAAAGGGCGTAAGTTTCTCCTTTATAACATCAGCCAGAGAAATAAGGGCAGAGGAGATGTCTCTTTTCCCAGACAGCGTCTTCCAACCCTCATCCGATTCTGTCCTTTTGAGGGTTGGATCTTAGCCATAACTTAAGATCTCAGTCTGATCTCATTTCTCCTAGTTTTGTGGTCTGACCCTTGGCATCTTATCAATCAAAACAACATATTGTCTGAGTGTCTTTGGCCAATATGTTCCTTTCTAGGAAATTTCTTCCAGACCTCTGCTATTGCTGACATCTTGATGCGTCATATGTTAGGCTCCTTCTTCTAGAGTGTCTTATCTAAACACAGATAAGTACCCACTCGCTGATGGATCTGGAGGCAAAGAGGCTGATCCTTAACTATGCTTTAGACAGAGCATATAAACTCCTTTCTTGGCTCTTGGTGGCCTGCCTGAAGAGCAAGGGAGAAAACACTGGGTCAGCCACAGCCATCGTCAGAAGGCATTGGAAGTGCTGGCAGTAGATGTTTTTAAGTAACCAAAATTCATAATTGATATTCATAACTAAGCAATCTGTAACCTAAATATGCTTATTCTTATTTCTGTTTTTGTATTCTGAAGTCACTACAGTATTCTACAAATGTTCTCTTGGAGAATCTCAAAGCTTTTCAACGTCAGGTATGTTAGTTCCAGCATGATGAGAATACTAGAAAAACAAATTCACTCCTTACTTAGGACAGATAAATTCTTTTGCACAATGGGGCCGAGAAAAACTTAACTGGACATATGTGTACTATATAAACAGAACTTTAAGTATCTTCTCATTAAATGTTTCCTGTTAGATAACACTTTATACCCATTTGCTTATCAAGGGTTTATTTTCCACTAATGAAATGATACCACTGCTGGTGCAGAGTGCAGCAGCAGCTGCTTTAAGAGGTCTTCTAAACATTGTACTGTCATTTCACTGAGAAGGTAAAGGAGCATCTCTTATTTAAATAAGCAATAGGGGAAATGTAGAGAAGCAGGTCATTACTCTGAAATGAATCTGGCCCAGGGGACATTCTGAGAAAAGTCCACAAATGTTATGGGTCTCAGATGTATATCTCAACAGAGATCTAATTTCAGGATATCAGCATAAGGCAAAAAGAAAAAAAAAAAATTACTGGATAACAAAGACCAGCAACTGAAGTCCACTGTCATTCCTGGCATACCTCTTATATATATGTTACCCTAATCAGATCCTGCCTAGCTGCTGAAATCTGGAGAATTGCTCCTAAAGGTATGAAGGGCATAAGCACAGGCCTGAGGGAAATTCCTTGATTTTGCACAAGCAGCACTAACTTTCATTCGATATACAAACTTAGAGCCAACATTTGGGGGGAAAACCACAAGTAAACAAAACAAATGCAAACGAGCAAAGCAGATTTTTCCAGAAATGACCACAGTGGATGTGTCAATAGTCATATACTGAAGGGGTGCCACTTAGCAGAACTGTACTTAGGTCTACTTGAGGACTATCTGAAGTATGTATGTATGTCTGATCTCAGAAGGGACTAAGCAGTTCCTGGAAAGTCTGAGTGACACTGAATACCACTGACATGATCAGGAGTTGAAACATGTAAAACCAGATCTGTTCATCACAAACCAGTCAAGCACTGTGCATAATTCCATGACAGAAATTCAAGAAACAACCTTCAATTAAATACATATTTTGGTCAGATTGCTCCAGTTTGTGGCCCATTAGCCCTATCTGGCCTGCAAAATATTTCTATTTGCCTACTGTGTCTGCCTCTGAAGGAGTGAGGAGCAGTTGTTTGGACAGTAAATGCAGTCAGAGAAGCCAAGAGCCTCCTGCTGTGCCTGCATGTGGTCCAGCACAGAACAGCCAGAAGTCACCGCTTCCAAGTGTGAGAAAGAGAAATGGGGAAAAAGCTAGAGAAATATTGCTACTGCGTTAACCCACTCCACAAGACTGCCTGAAAAGACTGATTGCAAAGATAACATGATCTCTCTGGAAGATTTTGTTGGGTGTCATAAACAAGCACTGTTTAATCCCATTTTACTATGGGGATGATTTATAACTAAAAGAAATGTGACTCTGATGCCTTAATGGAAGTGATCATTTAGGAACTGATCCTTCTTTTATTCAAGTCAGTGGAAGAAAGAAGCCTCCTGATGCTGTATCAAGCAGCGCAGTGATGAACAGAGCCGTGATTCAGTCATGGACTTTTGCAGAGATTATGCAACTTTCGCTTCCTGTCAACATGTTCCTCCTTTCATTTGGTAGTACTGAAAAGTTTTGCATAAAAGCTGTTCATTATTGCAAATGAAATTTCACAGCGTACAATAAAAAGACAGACAAACCAAGGGGAGTAAGATGACTTTTTGTTTCTTGAGTTGTCCCCCTGATACATCACACTACCATGCTATGTTCTCCTATCCCCCCAGCTTTAATTTAATTAACAGGAAGGAAGGGAATGGAATTTTACTAAAAGTTTAGAAACTCCCCCTTCAGGCAAACTTATTCAAATAACGAGTTGTTTCATGTATTCATTTCCAGTCTTAGGAGTGTTCTCAGTTATTCTGGCACAATTTCTTAGCTCATAAACAGAAATAAAGTTCCTCAAAACAGAATGTATCACAAAAAATAGCAGAGCACATTATTAAAAAGCATCTTACAGATAGCTGGTGAGCGTATTTTCTATTTAAAGCACACTCACATTCTACAGTATAGCGGTACAGAAATATCCCAGCAAGCACCAAGTCAGCTTGTTCCAGCGATGGGCAACGCAACTGCACTAACATGAGGCTGGCCCTAAACCAAGGGACACTGTTTCAGGGACATAGGCAGCTGTACTGCTTTTGAGACCCAAATTATTATCTTCCATCACTAACTGTATAGTGATGTGTGGAGACACCTGCTCACACCTCTGTTGGACTTGGGCCTCAGTCCCATGCTTTACTTCAGGGTATAGGTGCCCTTAGAAAAGTTTAATGCTTGCATTGTACTTCATTACCCAACTGTAACTGCTGATATTACATTTTTTTCCAGGCTCTTTGGGAGCTACTGTGAGACATTATCTGGGATATTAGTGGAATAACAGATGGATAGGAGAGTTAATTCAAGAGCTTGTAGGAAATTTTAATTAAAGAAGTATCAGCATTTGCAAGCTGAACAAAATGCTTAGATACAAAGTAGCGCACAGAGCACATAAAATGAAGTCCTAGTCTGACTGAAATTTGTGGCAAATCTCTTACCAATGTCGACAAAGTAAGGATGTCACGCAGCCGTATAAGATTTTACATCCTTGGAGCAGTATTCAGTTTGTTACTAAGATGCAGGTGTAGGTATCTTTGTGTGACCATACTAAGTCCCCAATACAGTCAAAGGAGAAGCAATTAATACAGTTAATGGAGCCTAGAGAGAGATTCAGGATGTGATGAATTGCTCTATGTCTACTGACTGTACTGACTCAATTCCACAGGACCTCACAGATCAGTGTCCCTCTGGAATGGCAGCTGAAGGCCAAGTAGAATTGAAGTGGTTCTGGACACCTAGCCTGAGGCACCTCAATCCACACCCAGATATCCACTGTGATAACTGGAGCTTTAATACCTAGCTCACACAGAGATACCTACATTTAGATGTCTTCAGCTGGAGCTGAATCCCTCCCCTGATTCCCTATGAAAAGCCCATGACATTGACTTCAATAGGTTTTGGATAAAGTTCTCCAAAATCACAATAAAATCAACTAAACAACCCT